GTCCAAGATTAACCTTCAGGGTGGATATAGCTCGCTAGCAGCCTCGCACCGAGGACCTATCCACGTCATCATTTACCCAGAATGCTTTGTGTGCAAATAAAATGGCCTCGTCTGTTTTAAAATATATTTTTTAAAATGTAGTTTAAGAATTTACAAACCTAAACAGCCTACAGTATTTTTAGTCTTTATTTTACAGTTAAAATATATGTTTATCAAATAAAGTTTAATGTTACAACTAATCAGGGATCCCTTTAAAGTGCATTCAGTGCCTGCTTTTATTTCTTAATTTTGTTTTGCTTTGTGAGTGAGTCAACAAAGACAAACTAACCCAGAGGGCTCACACAAGACAGACCCAGCTGGTTCTTACCACAGGATGTGACACAGGTGTCATAGACCGGGTTGAACAAAGTGGATCCTGGAGGACAGAAACAACCTTCCTTGGTGTTGTTGTATRATGAGTTCATTTCTGTCTGAAACTTCATGTTGTACCTGTCAAAGACAGAGGTTCTGAAGATCAGAGGAGACTCTATTTTTATCGTCTACCTTAACCATCTCCCATAACAATCTACCTTAATCATCTACCATAACCATCTACCTTAACCATCTACCATAGCCATCTACATAATCATCTACCATAGCCATCTATATAAACATCTACCATAACCATCTACCTTAACCACCTACCATAATCATCTCCCATAGCCATCTACATAATCATTTACCTTAACCATCTACCTTAACCATCTACAATAATCATCTACCTTAACCATCTACCTTAAACACCTACCATAACCATCTACAATAATAATCTACCTTAACCATCTACCATAATCATCTACCATAGCCATCTACATAATCATCTACCTTAACCATCTACCATAGCCATCTACCATAGCCATCTACATAATCATCTACCTTAACAATCTACCATAGCCATCTACCATAGCCATCTACATAAACATCTACCATAACCATCTACCTTAACCATCTACTATAACCATCTACAATAATCATCTACCTTAACCATCTACCATAATCATCTACCAMAGCCATCTACATAATCATTTACCTTAACTATCTACCTTAACCATCTACSATAATCATCTGCCATAATCATCAACCTTAACCATCTACCATAAACATCTACCAAAGCCATCTACATAATCATTTACCTTAACTATCTACCTTAACCATCTACSATAATCATCTGCCATAATCATCAACCTTAACCATCTACCATAAACATCTACCATAATCATCTACCTTTATCTACCATAACATCTACCATAATCATCTGCCTTAACCATCTACCATAACCATCTACCTTAACCATCCACCATAACCATCTACCATAGCCATCTACACAATCATCTACCTTGACCATCTACCATAATCATCTACCTTAACCATCCACCATAACCATCTACCATAACCATCCACTATGAGCTCAGAGGGTTATTCAGGTCTTACCTGTCGTTGCAGGTGGGCTCCACTGACGGACCACAGGCCAGGTACACTTTGTTGTTTGGACATTTGTGCTCTGAAAGATGGAAAAATTTTTACATTTTTTTCATTTAACTATTATTAAACCAGGCAAATCCCATTACTGGGAATCAAACCAAGGACATTTTTGCTTTAAGGCTACAGTACCAACCACTAAMCATTGAACAATTAACAGATGAAATCCCACAATAATCATACATCTTACCACACAGTCCRCCAGTAGCCTCCCTCCAGTCGATGCAGACCCCAGCGGTGGAGCACTGAGTGGCGTAGGCCTCCAGGCTAGAGCAGCTCTGATTACAAACGTCGTAGGAACAGGACTGTATGAAGGGTCCAGGGGAGACCAGAGTGTGGCAGGGTGCAAATATACTGAAGGAGATACCATCAGTAAATATATTTATATGAATGTGTACTCAGACTATAGTAATAGTAAATATTAACCTGTTAAAAATATTAGTTATACAACACTAACTGATTAAATACATACCAGCTTCACCAAAACAGAAAAGTTTAGATTTATTCTTTAAAATAATTCCAAACAGAAACAAATCTTTAGATTTTCACATTTTTCCTACCTGCTTGTGAGCAGATCACAGACCGAAGGTCTGCAGGTGGGTGGTGTGGGTGTGAGGGGTCCTGTCGTAACTGGGGGGGTTGTTGAGGTGACACAGGGGGTACCTGGGACCTGCCACTGGTCTGCAGAATCTGTGCAGGACTCCACCTGACCGTTAGGAGAACGGCAGTCATTGGGGAGGGAGTTGTCACAGGTTCCTATTCAACCAAAGACACCAGAACCACGAGCTTCAGACCAGAGAAGGTTTTATCTCAACACAGGTAAAACATTCCTTTACATTTTTTTCACCATAAAAATGTAAAATAAAACTAAGAGTCTCAAACAACACTAGTAGCTAAACTAATCAGAATATTAAAGTTTTTATTTATTAATATAAAACAGTAAATACTTAAAATATATAATCTTCTAGATAAACATTTTTGTTTTATCTATATTTTCCATCCAACCATCCATCCATCCATCCATCCATCCATACAACCAACAATCTGAATAGGGGCCAATACAGAGCTAGATAAGGACGTTTAAAGACCTCAATAGGAGCTTATACAGAACTAGTTAAGCGCCCTATAAGGATCAGGATAGGGTCCTTATATATATATCTGGATAGGCACCTAGGCAGATCTGGATAGTGGCCTATCAGTGTCTAGATATGGCCCCTATAAGGTAATGGGAATGGCCCCTATAAAGATTTGGATAGGGGCCTATCAGGGTCTGGATATGGCCTCTATAAGGTATTGGACATGGCCCCTTTAAAGATCTGGATAGGAGCCTATACAGGATTATAAACCCACTGAAAGCTTATCAGAGAATCTCAAGCATTTTCTAGTTCTGTGTTTTCTCTTAACTTCAGCATCTCATCAAAGTTCACTCAGCCTCAGATAGCTAAGAATAATATATTCATCTTCACAAGCTACAGAACTACAGGAGTTCCTGTGAAACTATCTGGGGATGGACTCTTCATCTCATGATCCAAAGATCTAACAGGTCCATGGTACTGCTCACTCACCACACTGCCCCTCTGTGTTCCCCCCAAACAGAGAATATGGAAGGTCAATGCTGAACGAGGAGCCGCTGTAGGTTATTTTAGTGTTGATCTCTGGGATCTCCACTGTGACGATCATGTCTGAGCCATAGATGAGTAGGAAAGAATTGCTGTAGGCTGGATAGATACGTTTATTATCTAAATAGACCTGTGGAAGAAAGAAACCGAACACATCTGGACATAAACAACAAACACCATTTGTTTTTTGTGTGTGTAATCTGAAAGTGATGACAAAATACTGTTTTGGGTTGTTTTAATGGCTGCTTACCACAACAGCTGCTGTCCCAGAGGTCTCTGTCTGAGTCAGAACCACACTGAAGGACTGGTACAAGATGGTGAGGGCCAGAGGACAGAATGTGGACTCTGAAGGGTCACAGTCATGGCTCCTTATAACCGTCAGGTTAAATTTGGAAATGATCTCCTTCACCAGGTAATAGGAACAGTTTTTGTCAAATGTGAAATACTGTCCGTCAAACGTCACATAGTTGGATCCACTCCAGACCGTGCACATGCCTGCAGGATGACAGCTCACATTATTTATATACACCACATGTTCATTAAGTGATTATTTAATACAAAAAGCACCGGAGATAACTACATCTGTCACATAAATACAAAATGTTTAAATGTTTTAGAGACTTAGTGCAAACATGATAAAATCTTAGGAGAACTGGGGGTGGATGCAAAAGTATTCACTTCCTTGGTATTATTCCAGTTTTGGTGCTTTTAACCTGAAATGTACTTAGATGTTTGATTTGTTATAAGTAACAGTATAAATAAGATGTGTTTGATCTGCTCTGCTGTTGCTACTGAGGTGTGGACGAGGAATCCCTGCTCACATACAGTTTATGCCAAAAAGGACAACCTAAAATGCAATGCCTTGTCTGACTAAAGCCCATAAAGGAAAAAGTGAGACATTTAAACAAACAAAGATTTTGGACAGCGAGCTACATACAGAGCCTCATGGCGAGACTAGCAAGACAGCTACATGAGACAACAGGGAAGAACCGGACAGCAATATGTCTGACTTAATACTGGCTATGCTGGAGATGTTGAAAACTGAGTTCTCCACGAAAATTTGACATTGTGACAGTGGCGTTACAAAATATGAGAAAGAAGATGACATAATATATTGAGCGCATGTCGTGTGCAGAAGCGTGCTCTTGTCCTATTATCATATTTGTTGTTTGTGTAAAATTAATGTGACGTTAAAATGCAGCAAAATGGATAAAGTTAATGGGCAGTGGATCATTTTGCAAATCACTGAAGTTGAAGTCTTACTATATAAAGATTAAATATTTTACTTACATTCACATTCATAGTGAAAGCAGCATCCGTCTTTTTCGTAGATCTTCACAGCTCTGCGTCCATTGGTGCAGATGGGTTCGGTAACAGTAGGACATGAGACAGTGGTCACGTTCACCTCTCCATTGGTGCAGGTAGCTGTGGAGCAGTTGCTGACCTTCCAGGACTCTCCATTCTAAACGGAGATTACCAACCAATAAAGTTGTGTCAAATATTGAAGAGTAACTGATTATGTTATTTTTATTTTCAAAGTAAACATCATCATGCACAAGTATGTATAGCCATTTAAGTAGTTTCCACCCCAGCAAATAAAATGACCCACCTCCTTAGGTGGATTCACATCATTGCAGTCTAGAGAAGCTGTAGATGGTGAAGTTACTGTAGTTGGAGAAGAACCAGAACTGCTTGTAGTCTTAGGAACTGAGCTTGAAGCTGTGCCCTTTGTTGTGCTGAAAAGCGAAGTTGAGGTGGTGGTGCTGGATACTTCAGACAGTATGCAGGGGCTGAAGTGTGTATCAACTTTACAAGATATATTGCAAGACGCAACATAACACCAACCAAGGCCATCAGAAACATTGTACACCAGGTCCCCTGTTTAAAAAAAACATTGATCAAGACTAAAGCCTATAATACCAAAATACCAGTCGAAAAAAATTAAAATGTAATAACCTACCAGGATTATATAAAGTTGTGTTAACAATGCACACACAGGCTGAGGTAGATGTTGGATATGATGATGAAGAAAAGACTGTGTTTCCAGTTGGCTGGGTGGATCTGCTAGTAAGAWAAACTGCTGTGCTGCCTGGAAGAGTCTTTGTCAAAGGAGCAATATTAGTTGTTTCTGTGGGGTTAATTGTGGTTACAGCAGTTGTAATTGAAGCTGAAGAAATTGTGAAAACACTTGTGAAAGAAGAAGGTATTGTCGGTGTAAAAGGCTTTGATGTCCCAGTTGAGATTTCTGGATTGGTTGTCTGGACTCCTGCTGCTGTGGTTGAGGTTTCAAAGACAGCTGTGGTAGAAGCTGTGACTGGACCTGTGGTGACAACTTTGATAGGGGTTGTGGTCCCAATTTGACCAGTTGTACCTTCTGATACACTTGTTTCTCCAGGTTTCTTTGTGGTTATACTTGAAATGGTGGAAGATCCTGGTGTAGATGTTGTTTCCACACTGGGCTTTGATGATGCAACTGTGCGTTCTAGACTTGTTGCTGTGTTCCCTGCAGTTGAACCTGTAGTTTCAGGAACTGCTGTTGTGGATAAACTTACTAGCCCGGCTGTATTTATTATACGTGTTGTCTCTACTTTTAGTCCTGTGACTTCGTGCGCAGTACTTTCCACCAATTTTGTTGTACTTTCCATTCTGGTGGGAGAAGGTGTTGGTGTAGTTTTGGTACTAGTGGAAGGCTGAGATGTCCCAGTTGAAATTTCTGGTTTGGTTGTCTGGACTCCTGCTGTTGTGGTTGAGGTTTCAAAGACAACTGTGGTAGAGGCTGTGACTGGACCTGTGGTGACAACTTTGATAGGGGTTGTGGTCCCAATTTGACCAGTTGTACCTTCTGTTAGACTTGTTTCTTCAGGTTTCTTTGTGGTTATATTTGAAATGGTGGAAGGTCCTTGTGTTGACGTTGTTTCCACACTGGGTTTTGATGATGCAACTGTGCGTTCTGGACTTGTTGCTGTCTTCCCTGCGGTTGAACCTGTAGTTTCAGGAACTGCTGTTGTTGACTGGGTTACTTGCCCAGATGTCACTTTGATAGGTGTTGTCTCTACATTTGGTCCTGTGGCTTGTGACGTGGTACTTTCTGCAGATTTTGTTGAAATTTCCTTACTGGTGGCTGAAGGTGCTGGTGTAGTTGTGGTACTGGTG